TTTTTTTTTGACCCCTACTCCAAAGGCTAGCCGTGTTGTCGCCAACGGACCGCCGGGTCAAACGTCGGACGGAAATTAGCCATCCTCGGAACAGTTACGCTAATTTTCGTCCGTAGCGGTGTGTTTATTTTTGTTGTGTGCGTTGCAACAGATTGTTTTTTTTATATTTCTATTTTTTTTTTATCGTGACTGGCCGCTAAATTTGTATTATGTAAATTTTTGTTTAATGGCGTCGGTTGAGCCTGCCTCCTATTCTTTAGCCCTTCGGGGCCGGTAATGTATAATTTATTATTTATGTTTTGAGCCATACCTATTTTTGTTTTTTTTTTAGTGCGTCGTGCCTTAAGCACGTGTGGCGAATTTTTTTTATTTTTATTTAGGTCCCGCAACATGACAGACATGTACAAGACCACCTAACATGTTATATCTATATTTTTTGTGATTTTTTTTATAGGTTTTATATTCTATTTTATTGGGTGATGAATAGGTTATTAATACAATGTGGTGACATAGTGCATTTTATTCCGGATGTCCCAATATCTTGCAAACGAAGTCTAACTGCCTAAAACCAGTCGCTTCCTTGGGACGTATACCCAAAGCCGTGATTAATAGCCGGTGGGTATCCGAAGACGTTCATCGTATTCTCTAATAATAAAAGTGTAGGTGTAACTATTTTTTTATTAATATCTGTTTTTTTTTCTCTGTTCCCTTTTAAATTGTAGACGAGGTTTTTTGACCGTTCGGTTTTTTGCCTCGTGTTAACTNGAACGTTCAGTTTAAATTTTTTTTTACTTAATAAATTCCCCTTTATTTAACTGAACCATCATATTTTTCTTTTTTTTGCGTGTTCCATCTTCAATGGACTCGTGTATTTTTTTCCTTTCAAAAATCATCTCCCCTTAGTTTATAAGGTACCGGCAACGGCCTTGTATAAGGTCATCCCTCATTGATATGGTTATGTGACAACTGTCACGAGGTTTTGGTGTACATCTACTATCAACGACTCAACGGACATCAACTTTAANTACTATCAACGACTCAACAGACATCAACTTAAGTATTTATTAATTTTATATTTTTGTTTAATTGTTTTAATATATAAAAGTTAATTTTCTTTAAAATCCTTCTGTGGTCCGACAATACACTGTCTCGCCCAGTAGGTTGGCAACCCTTTTCTTGTAATTTTTTAATGCGCCATAAAAGTTACAAATTTTTTCGTTGCGGCCAATTAGTTTGATTTTTTTTATATTTGTAACCTTTCATGCCGTTTCCTAATACCGACGGTCTGTTTGGGCACTGGCATTGCCAGTGTCGCTCGCCGCAATATCGGCACTGGGTAGGCGGTGCGTCCGTATTTGCATAACCCACTCACTGTCAAGCCGCTGGTTGCGCGGTATGCCGCGGAGGCAGATCGGCTGGCTGTCGGGACGCTGGCGGAGCGTACCGAAGAGCCGCGATTTTATCTACGTCGTGCGCTATCTCATGTAGATCGGCGAAAGACGCTGGATGCATTAACCGTATCATAGCGCGGTAATCGTCCCGTAAAAGCCCCGTTAACTGTCGCACAAGTTGTTGNTATTCGGTTTTTTGCCTTGTGTTAACTTAATTTTTTTTTTACTTAATAAATTCCCCTTAATTAAACTGAACCATCATATTTTTCATTTTTTCGCGTGTTCAATCTTCAATGGGCTCGTGTATTTTTTTCCATTCAAAAATCATTTCCCCTTAGTTTATAAGGTACCGGCAACGGCTTTGTATAAGGTCATCCCTCATTGATACGGTTATGTGACAACTGTCACGAGGTTTTGGTGTACATCTACTATCAACGACTCAACAGACATCAACTTTAGTATTTATTAATTTTATATTTTTGTTTAATTGTTTTAATATATAAAAGTTAATTTTCTTTAAAATCCTACTGTGGTCCGACAATACATTGTCTCGCCCAGTAGGTTGGCGACCCTTTTCTTGTAATTTTTTAATGCGCCATGAAAGTTACAAATTTTTTCGTTACGGCCAATTAGTTTGATTTTTTTTATATTTGTAACCTTTTCTATTTATCTACGTCATGCGCTATCTCACGTAGATCGGCGAAAGACGCTGGGTGCATTAACCGTATCATAGCGCGGTAATCGTCCCGTAAAAGCCCCGTTAACTGTCGCACAAGTTGTTGCTCCGGTAAACCACAACGTACTCGCGCGGCCGCCAAACGTTATTTATGAATAATAAACTCGCTTAACGTTTGTCGGGGGTCCTGTCGCGTCGTTTTTAACTCCGTCTCGAGCGCAGTCCTGATATCGATATTGTCCAACTCCTCGAGTAATTCGGACCTAAATTCCGCCCATTGCATATTGTTTAATTTAATCGCTCGCCACCAATCACCTGCCCTGTCGTTCAGAAACGGGACGACGAAAAGTCGGTTGTGCAGCAACATGTGTGGACGGCAGCATATTTTGACTAATTCGCTCCAACATGTTTGAAATCTGTCGCTGTTCCATTGACATACGCGACAGCGACCTTTCTAGTTCAGTTATAGATCCGCGCGTTATTCGAAATGTCGTCAATGTTCTGTCAGATCGCCCACACTTGTTCTGCCACGTGCGCTATCGAGCGGGCAACGTATACATCCTCGACGTACGGTGCACCTAGTTGACCGCTTGGGCGCGTAATTTCCCCCGGTCGTTCGACATCAAATTCGTCGTCTGATGTGGGTAGCGCGAGGTTCACCGGATGTTCTTCCGGTAAAGGTGCTACGCCGGGCCGCTGATAGTTCGCTGACACGGTCCGAGGAGTTGTCTGATACCCTCACTGCGGGTTCGAGAACCGGAATTTCACTATCTACCGGCGTACGGGGCGGTAAAATTTCGGTAGCTGGATTCCTCCCTTCTCTACGTATGTTTTCCTCTAGTATATTTAGCATGTTGGGTTTCGTCGCGTAGTTTGGTAGCTGCCTGAAAGCGCATTCGCGACGTAATTAATTGCAATTCACATTTGTGCTAATGATTTCGCCGACATATTGACCGTGAGCATTATATGTTTATTTACAAACCTTAATAATCAAATGTATGCTACGTTGTGATAGCGGAGATAAACAATATCTCCGTTTACGGTCAAATTTGCTACTGCAGTAGAAAACAAGCGTTATTATTATTGCTTTTGTTGTAATTAAGTACCGCAATAAGATGGTACGGGGCCCCCGTTTAAGATATAACAGCGAGTGAACAATAATAATAACGGTTACCTGGCAATCTGCCGCTTTGACAAGGTCAGACGAAAATATACTATTTTTATCTACCAAAAGACTGTAACTATCGGCCGGAAATTAACTTCTAGTCCATATCAATAAGGTCTTTATAACAAACTGTAACCAACACTTTTAAGCCCGTTTCACACAAGCGCGTATGATACGCGCAAACATTGATATTGTTCGATCCATTTTTGTTGTTTTACTTTGTATGTAGTATAGTATGATAAGCGCGTTTGTCCGGTGCGTACCGGTTTCTTTTTATTGTAATATTGTAGTCGAACGATGAGCTCGTCATCGTAAAGGACGGCACGACGTGCACGCCAACATGTGTATACAAAATAAAATAATATAAACTAAGTTAAAAGTTTAAGTTTTAATATCGTTCTTATTATTAGTTAAACAGTTAAAAGTAATCGTATTTTATACAGTCCACTCTGAAAACGTAACATGGTCCTTCGTCCGCGATTGTATACCAGCGTCGTGAGTTCTTTTTAGTTTAAAAGTGTCGATTTATAAAGATTAATAGAATCTTTATCGAGGTACAAATTATTCGTAAATCAAAATACAATTGATTTGTCTCTGTGATGTGCTACACAATTTAGTGTATTGCACATATAGTAACTGTGCGATTTAAAAATAGTTGATTTTCGTTTAATTTGTCGTTTTGCTTACACAAATCAGTGAAGCACGTAAGTTCACCATAAAGTGTACTTGAAGGTCATTGGGACCAACGTACGTGTGTGTTTTTTCACACGAAAAGTATTAATATCGGTGCCATTGTCATTCCAATTGGATTACCTCTCAAGAAAAAGTCCAGCGTTGAAAGAATTAATAGAAAATTTGGAAAACCAAGGTAACAGTCGCCTTCCTAATTTTTCCTGTCCGTATTTATTTTAGTATATCGTATATGTGGTTTTATCCAAGTAAAAAAAAAGAGTAAAGAATATTATAGCAAGTGCGTGCGTTAGTATAGTAGAAAATTCTTAAAGATAAGCTTACCTAATAAGCGTCTGATTATAATTTACGAGCTATATAGTATAGTATAAGTGTAGCGCGATAAGTTATTGAAAAGTTTTTTTTTTGTTTGTTTATTCTCATCGAAACGGTATTCTCCTATAGCTGTCGAAATGAGTGATATTATAAATCTCAATAAGCGTAGGGGACAACTTAAAGGTTCAATAACAAGATTTTTAAGCATTGTAAATACTGAAAATCCAGA